AATCGAGGTGATATTGAAGCCATATAGAGGGTGGGTAATGTATTAGTTAATGGTAAAAAAATTTTTATGTATATAAAACAGAAATGAAGTAAATCGAAAATTTCATTTTTTAAAAAAAAATCGGGCGATACTTTTTGTGGTACTGTACATATACGTATTTGTTTTTACATGAACAGATAAATTATTGCGTGATACTATAATTTAAGAAAAAGAAAATATTTATTATTTAGAGATAGAAAGGTATACATGTAATAGGTGATTAAATTATAATGATACATAAGCAGTCAGACACTTGTATTGATATCAATATGATTTTTTTTGACTTGCCTGGTCTGTGGTGTTATTTGTGAATTATCTCTGATCAATCATTTAGTTCATAGTTATTAATTCACTCTTTGTTTCTGTCGTATTTTTTTTTCAAAGAAGTCGAAACAGAGCACAGCTTTTCATCCACTTTGCTTTGTTTTGAATTTTTTCTTTTTTACGTAATAAACTAATCTTTATGAGTTCTGTCTTTGCTTTATAACATGATGCAAGCAAAAATGAGTTAGTTTAGTATCTTTTACGACTGGCATCATTCGGTTACACATGCATTTGTTTGAAGTAGAACAGAGTATGATTTCTTTCTAAGCTTACTACTGGGTGACCTTTTTTCTTCGCAACAAATAAAACGTCGTTAAATAAAGAACTCAATATATTATATTTGATTTTCTTATTGCTTTTTGTGTCAGTTTACAAAAAATTCGATTGTGATTATAAAGTACACAACATAATAATTTTCTTGGTGGTGATATTTATAATAGTGACTAAGAAACTTTGATAGTATTAATCCTATGGTTAATTCAAAACATCACAATAATGAGCAAGTATTATAGCAATTATTAATAAATGAGGAACATACAAGTTACATGTATTACGTATAATCTCTGATATAGAATACTGTATATAAAATACATATGATTTTTCAATAGGGTCATGCGTTTTTAAGATTCTCAATACGTATTATCGTTATTACATGTACTGTATCATTAAATCAACACAAAAGTAGATTACGTAGCATGCCTTGCAAAAAGTACCCTAGCGCTAGCCATGGCAAAAATAAAAGGGTCGGATCACGTGTTGATTGTGGCATAAACCAATAAAAATGCGTAAATGTTTGATCAGCCCGGCAAAACAAATCCGCGCAAGAAAATAAAAGTAAAAAATACGCCTAGATCCAGCTTGATACACTAAAAAAAGAGTTGGGAAGACAATTTTACATATATAATTTTTACCCCAGCTCTAACCCTAACCCTAATCCTAACCTTTAAATCAACCTTTAACAATAACCTATATTACCGTAGAATTTTTCCGGACATACACAATTATTACATGATCTGACCCTTTTTTGCCATGGCTAGGGTACTACCTTGCAAAAATCCAACGAGCTAATGCTATCGCTAGCTACACTTCCTTTTCAGATTGAATTCGACATACACACCCTACACTATATTACCGGAAATTGAAAAAAAAAACAGTAAAACATAGTAAAATTGACATTGTTTCTTTATATTAAAATTTGTTATTTTAATATAAAGAAACAATGTCAATTTTACTATGTTTTACTGTTTTTTTTTCAATTTCCGGTAATATAGTGTAGGGTGTGTATGTAATTTCTGTTGATTATTGAAGTTTAACTTTAACTAAAGCAAAACAGACACGAAACAGATCCTCATTGTTTAAGTATAAGTTAACTTGAGCTATTGCGTTTTATAATTACTATTAAAAAAATTGATTATGTGTACAGTTTGATTTTGAACATACTAAATGACAAGACGGAAAAAGGTAAAAGTTCTATATTAAACCGAACTAAACAAAGGCACATGTAAAAGAGTAGGGCCCGGACTAGCTACATCAAGAGGTTTACGTGATTCAACAGATGGTAAGCTGGAAGTATTTAAATTCGTTAGTGGCGGAGTCAATAAAACTGGCTGTATCGGTATATTTGGCAATGATCTTTCTTTTACAACAGCCTTAGGTTCCCCATTACTTTGTATTGTTTTTTTTGGCCATCCGAAAATTTGAGCTTGAGTATTCTTTTTTCGATAATAAAAGAATCCGAGAGCGGCAAGAAGTGCGACGCCTAACAGTCCTCCTATCACGCCTCCAACTATTGACCCAGTATTATTTTTCTTTCCTCCAGATACATTATTTTTTTCAGGTACAGAAGTATCTTGGTCACTTGTATTTCCATTTGGTCCACCTGTTTGATTAATTAGTGATTGATTAATAGCTTGAACCCATTTCAGATCACGAGTATCAAGAATAGTTATCGTAGTTGATGGTGTGACTACAGTTGCACCAACAGTTGCACCAGAAGTTGCACCAACGGTTGCACCAGAAGTTGCAGCAGCATCAACTGGTGTACTCGCGTCAGGGAATTTACCTACATAATATTAACAAAATTAATATATTTTCAATCATGATGACGTATTTTCTTTAATATCTCACCATAAGCGACAATCATATAACGGTCGTAAATTGTTGCTGTATGCCAATAGGGTATCGGATACGGTGTATCTGTAACTGGCAATGACCAAGTGGAAGTGAAGTCTTCAAAATTCTGAATTCTCAGTAATGCAACAGCATTATTGTTGTTCATTATTGATGGATCGGAGTATCCGCCATATATCAAAATGCTAGTGTTGTTTACTTTAATCAATAAAAAAAATTAGAAAAAAAAACTAAAGAAGTAAAATTAGATTTGAACTTTAAAAATGACCTAACATTTTACAGCAGTGTGACCACCACGTTTTGGCACCAGTTCAGATTTAAATACGTTCTAAATGTAACGAAAAAATGTAGTTTGAATCTTCTCTTTTTATCTCTTTATAAATTTCATATTACCTTACCTTTGCTTTTTTCCATTCCGAGGTGTCTGAATTAAATATCCAAATCTTTTAATAGATAAGTAATTAGCGAATTTTTGTTAGTTAAGATTTCGAAAAAAGATAAATTCTTCAGTTACTTCATCCATTCCTACGAAAGTACTGGGTGCTGTTTTACCACCAATATATATAATATTGTTGCCTATTGCTGTCGCTGTATATTCGTACCGGACTTTTATGCTTGAAGTTTCTGGCTTTGGCTTATCTATAAAGGTAAATTCATTTGTTGTTGAAAAGTCTAAATAATGTACATTTAGATCGTGAGTTGGTATTAAACTTAGCGGCGTGAGCATTAAATTACGCGGATCATCTAAGATGTTGTCAGACCCGCCATAAATATGCCATTTTTTGTTCTGATCAAGGACTGAATTTAAGTTGCGTCGTGCTCTCGGTGGATTTACAGCTGGAAAGATACTGGATGAGATCTGATTGTTGTTTATATCGATATTGTATTGGATAATCCTATTTGTATTTGGATATGTATTTGTAGTTTCCTTTGGACAAATTAAAATTTCTAAGATGTTAATATAAATCCGATTCAATTAAAACTTCATTTTGATTAATATGATTTTTACATTAAATATAACGCCGCCAAAATAAAAAATTTTAGTGCCATCAACAACAGAAGTTCCCCACGCAACAGGCGTATACCCACTAACAGTTATAGCGGAGGGAATGCTTTGTACAGAAACATTTGATGAAAGATCCAGTACAAGCACATCCAGTACGAGGGAAGGATTATTTGCATTTATCCCGCCAATAAAATATATTTTTCTTTCTTTTTCTATAAAATTTGCCGTATGTCCATATCTTGGTGGTGGTTGTGAATTAACATTTTCAAAAGCATTTAGAGCTAGAGTCAAAGTAACAAAAAAAATATATCTGAAAATTATCATTATGAATCAAATACTTTTTCTATTTCAAAAAAGATTTTCCGTAAATAATTCTCATTAACGAAAAACGTGTTCTTTAAAGTGTAAATGTAAGTGTGACCTTTAAGGTGTAAATTTTTTAGCACTCCATTTAAGAATAAGAAATTTTCGGGTCAGAATTTAAATTAGCGCCTTATTCTACAAATTAAAAATTCACTTTGTTTATCGTTATCCCAAATAACAAAGAGTATTGATAGAAGTTCTTTTTAATTGATAATAACAGGTTCGTCTTGTTTGTGTTATGCGTGTGTTCTATTTATATACAGTATTTGTGTATGCGTTTAAAATATGCTACACGCAATACCGATACATGTAAGAAGTAATTGATATTGTGGATATCGGCATTTTTTTCACCTTTGTTTTATTTCTTAAAGTGGATGTAAAATTAATATTATTATTTATCCTTTTTAAACTTCGGTCACACGTTTCACGTTGGAAGATGGGCTGTATATAAAACCATTCAACCAAAAATTAGTCTAATTTTATTTATTCACCGGAAAATTTACCTGGTGTTATATTTATAGAGCTCCAAGTAGTTTATAATATAGAAAAGATGGCATCTTATAATAACCAATTTTTGCCGCAGCCGCAGCAGCAACAAGTACAGCAACAAGTACAACAACAACAACAACAGCAACAACAACAACAACAGCAACAACAACAAATACCGCAACTACAATCACCTAGAATTCGTTCCTTACCCCCTCCTCCTTCTGTTCCGCCGACTAATACTAATATTAATCAAATTAGTAGTTCTGTTCCTACTCATAATCAGATAATGTCTTCTGACCCGTTCGATAGCTCTCCAAATTTCAGTCAATTACAAATAGAAAATCTACGTCTTCATGAAGAAAACAAACGTCTTAAAGAACATGTTAATTTGTTGTCTCAACGTGGATGGAATAATGCCGGCAGCAGCAGTGACTTTAATATAATTAACTCAGTTCAGCTTGTAACAAATATTGCTAACCTTCGAGACACGCTAAACGAATTCACAAATTTGAAATTGGGCAATGAACTTCGAATTAATCAACAGGCCGCATTTCAATTATTCAACAAATATAAATGTAGAAGAAGTATCGAGTTTACGAAACTCTATCACTCAGAGATTGATGTCTTCAACTCGAATATCTCGTCGGCACCACTCGATAATGGGCTGGACTTCAGGCAAATCTTGAAATTCGCTCTTCAACGTCTCATCATTGAAACGATTCTTGAGAAAACTCAGCAGTACATCGAATTGGTAGTAAATTCACGACCAAATAACAAAATAGCTCTCGAAGAAAATCTCGAGGCAAATATAATCAAAATATCAAATGACTTTATAGTACATGTAAACGATTTCGACAAATTCCGTTCTGGAACAGACGACCTCACTAAAAATCTCCCGGTGAAAATTCGTCAACAGACAGCTGCCATATTAGGTGCTCGAGCATTCAACAAGGAATCTCATCCGTTTATCACGCACTTGACAAAGGAATTATTCGACTTGTTGAATCAGCATCGTACAATTTCTAATCAACAGAAACTCCAGGAAATTCATCAAATGATACCACAACTTATTCGTGATGTCATTCGTGTGTTGTTCTTTAATTTGTCAGCGCATGAACCGTCTCCAAAGGTGAAATTTTTCGAAGCTGGTGTGCCTTTGGATTTGGAGCTGATGGAAGGTGCATTTGAACCTAATGAAAGTTTGAATTTGGAGGTGAGAAATTATTAGATATATAAAATTTATAGTTATTTTATCTTGCTAATTTTTTTTCATAAAAATACAAGGTCGAAATTTGTGCTTTCCCTATTATCGGAACAGACTTAAACAATCGTGACCGTAAATTATTCAAAAAAGCTCAAGTTTATGTCGTCGAAAAAAACAGGTCAAAGAATACACTTGCCAACACACTTGCCAGCAAATCAGACTGAGAAAACCGTGTATAAAAAACGTGTTTAATGTTTCAATAATCTATATCTTAACACACATAAATAGCAACCATATACTGTATATTTATTTTTTGTTTGTGTCGACTTTGGCTTTATCAAATATTTCAAAATATCAATTCGGTAATCGAGGTAATTATTTTGCTTATAAAGTACAATTAGAAAGTGTAAATTAAATTACATTTTAAAAAATAATTTACGCTATACGTACTTATATACTGTACTTATACCGATACGATAATTTCAAATCTGGTATAGTGGGTATCGGTATTGTATCATCTTGTAAATAATCACCCGGAAAAAATATTAGCCACCGCATCATAAAACGGGAGCGATTATTCCCTTACAATTACATTACTGTACTTATCGTTATCGTTATCAATAAAAAAATGTCGTTTCGAAAAAAATCTGAATCAAGAGAAGACCCGCCAACGGCGGAATCATCAAAAAATATTCAGACGGCACAACGACGTCTCTCACAGTTATCCAAATCATTGACTCGAGATCTTTCGAATGATAATGACGAAAGTGATGACAACGAAGACCGAAGTGTTAGAAAGCATGGATTTTTTAAGTCTGACGACAATAGTAAAATTGGTTTGTAGTTTTTGGGCGGGTTTCAAAGCCCTTGATGATTGTTTAAACCATTTAATGGATTGAAATAGGTTATACACTTCGTGTTGGAGATATCTCGACCATCATTAAGCCTACACAAAATCCAGAATTGGTGCCTGATTTTAGGAATCCATTTTATGATAATTCACAGGTAAAGCTTAGAATACAGTGTTTAAAAGATAAAAATAACTTATTAATTTCTTATATTCTCTAGGAAATTTTAAAACATTTAAGATGGTAAATAAAAATTAATTAGAAAAAAATATGAAGAGCAATTTTTAATCTCAATTTCCAATACGTATACAACAGGATAATGCAAAAAGATAAATTAGGACAAGATATATTTCTTATCGGGTAAGAACAAACACTCATATAATTGTGGGAACTTTAATCCTAATTAAAGAAGGCATTGGCTATTTTGAAAATTTTAGACCACCAGGACAAATACGACGTGGCCTAATTCTAAAATACGCGAGTCTCACAAACCGTGAAATAGAATACATTGCACTCTCAAAAGATTGTACCGACTCAGACTTAAAACAACGTCGCGAGATTTCAGGCGGCACAGCTTATTACGTAGACCAAGCATGCGTCCGTGCAGCCATCTATGGTCGAATTCTGATACTCGACGGAATAGAAAAAGCGGAACGAAATGTCCTCCCAATTTTGAACAATCTCTTAGAAAATCGTGAAATGGCATTAGAAGACGGTAGATTCTTAGTGCACTCAAAGCGTTACGATGCTCTCTCGAAAAAAACTGAAAAAACGGAAATGGACAATTGGAAATTGGTACGAGTCTCGGATCGGTTCTTGGTCGTTGCTTTGGGGTTACCTGTTCCGCCATATATCGGGCACCCATTAGATCCTCCATTACGTTCGCGATTCCAGTCTCGAGATATTAAACAACCGGGATTCGAGACTCAAGTACAGCATTTGAGTAAGATTGCGCCGAATGCATCGATTACTATATTGGAACGCTTGGTTTCTATTGCGATGGTACTTTCGAATTTGACATTTAATACTGAAGGAGGAATAACGATACCAGAGTTCCCGATTTCGATTGAATCGAGTGTGTTTATTCTTCAAAAATTCCCGGAAATTAAGCTTCGTTTTCTTTTGGATTCTCTTTATCCGTGGCCTTTATTGCCGATATGCGAAATAGAACAAAGAAAAGTTATCGAGACGACTTATCATCGATTTAGAATTCCTGGATATGATGGCACTGAAAATGCCGGTGTTGAAAAGGACAAGAAATTGAATGAAAATAATAGCAATGATGACAGCCATAAAATATTTCAATCAACGACTGGATACAAGTTTGTCGGAATAAAGAATAGCAATGGTATTAAACAAATTAATGGAAAACGAATTTACAAAAAAGAACTTACCTTTCACGAAGAAACTGATATCTCGAAAAAAGTTTCTGTGAATTTGGCTGGAGGTGGTGAGATACCATCAACAGCAGAATTTTTCGTCGAAACTAAATACCATCAAAATATATTAACTGCGATGCTTATCGCGCACTCTGCTGGAGACTTTTGTTTAATAGGTCAAAAAGGAGTGGGAAAGAGTGCGTTAATCCGGAATTTCGCAAAAAAATTAGGGTAAAGTTTTCTTCTTACTATTTTATATTATATATTCGAATAATCATTAATTTCAAATATTTAATATTATAGCTATACAATTGAATTTATTCCTCTTTACAAAGACATGTCTTCTCGCGATCTATTGCAACGTCGAGGAACCACATTCTCTGGTGACACTATTTGGGAGAACTCTCCACTCGTAAAAGCAGCTATTAATGGAAGCTTAGCTGTCATGGACGGCATCGAAACACTTTCTTTTGGCACATTAGCCACACTACAACGTCTAATCAAAGAGCGCGAAATTTCTTTACCCGATGGAAAACAACTAATTAATCATGAACGATACCAGAACCTTGTTCAAAAACACGGATTCACTTCTGAAATATTAGCAAATCGTGGTATATTTCCTATTAATCCAACATTCCGAATTGTGGTTTTGGCAAGACCGGTTAGTAGTGGAAGTGGCGGAAGTGAAGGAAAGCCTGGTGCTTGGCTTTCGCCTGAAGTTAGTGCCATGTTTCAGTTTGTTGCTGTTAGACTACTCGAGTATCAGGTAAGCTTTGGCAAACTTCAATTCTTTGAATTATTATTAAGAGCATATTTATTTTGGTACGGCATAACTTAGGAAGAAACTGAAGTTTTACATGCTTTATCTCCTGGAGTTAATGAAAAGAGCCTTGAGCTTCTTTTACGTTTCGCCAATCGGCTTAGGCAGGATACAGATGAGACAATAAAGATTTTGTCTGATGCACTTTCTACTCGGTATTATTTTGCATTGAATATACTTTTCATTGAAAATATTATTAACTACAAAATTCTAAGATAGAAAATTCTGTACTTTTTAGACAATTAATTCGAATTTGTCGTCGTATAACTGCATTTCCTGATGAAAGCTTATACGATTCCATTCACAAAGCGTCACTCTCACGATTTCTACCGTCACTTGCCAAAGAAGCTCTTGAAGAAATAATGATAGAAAATGGGATCACTCCCCCCAATACCAAACCAAAAATAGAAGAGGTACACTATATGGGTTTATTTCATTTAAGTTAATTTGCAAAAATATTGACAAATATTTATAAAGCTGAAAATCGAAGTCTTCCCCTCTGTCTCAAATCCCGAGTACCTTCAAATCGGAAACATCAAACAACCAATTGCCAAGGACTCGAATCCGTTACTTGTTCCGGACGTTTTATTTCATGAGAACCCGAAGCAGACTGAAATTTTGATGCAGATGCTGAAAGATTATCAATTGGGCATGAAAATAATTTTATTTTTCAATTAACATTAAAAAAATAACTCGAATAAAGTGTGTAATGTAATTTTTTGATTTAGGTGAGAATTTATTGTTGATTGGAAACCAAGGAGTCGGAAAGAATAAATTGGTCGATTACTTTTTGCAGCTTTTGAAGTTACCTCGCGAATATATTCAACTTCATAGGTATGAAAATATTTAGGTGAGTCATAGTACGCTCGTTGGATTATTAATTACTTTTATGATTTGAAAGAGACACTACAGTTCAAAGTTTGACATCCACCCCTTCGATCATTGATGGTGTTCTCCAACATGAAGATTCTCCACTAGGTTTGGGATTTTTTATATGTTTTATTAGCAATTACGATTTCTAATGCCTTTGTTAAACTTTTTAATAGTGAAAGCTGTGAAGTCTGGTAGTCTCAAATTTCGCATCAGCAACAATTTATGCCTTATATTAAAATTTTGAAATGAATTTGTTTTTAATCTTGTTATGGAAGGATACATTCTCGTCATCGACGAAGCTGACAAAGCCCCGACATACGTTACAGCGGTTCTCCGTAATCTTATCGAAGACGGTGAAATGGTGTTAGGCGATGGTCGACGTATCGTTTCTCGAGTTATTGAAAAGTTGGAAAATGATAATGAAGACGAATATATTCTTGTTCATAAAAATTTTAGAATCATTGTTTTGGCGAATCGGCCAGGTTTTTGCTTTTTAATGATGACGGTTTTGAATTTTATTCGAGCCTTTTTTTTTGTTGAAATTTTTTTATTTGTATTTGATAGGTTTTCCGTTTTTGGGTATGTCTTGTTTTTTCCATAATTTTGACTTGGTGAATTTTTGATTATGGAAAAAGCATCATGTTGAAACTGATTCTTTCGACAAACAACAGGAAATGACTTTTATCGTGAAATCGGTGATGTATTCAGTTGGTAAATTTTTTTATTTTCTTACTTAGTGGCAAAAACAATTTGTAGATACATGTAATAATGCACCATCGCGCGAATTTTCACACTAGTCACGCAGTAGACAACCCAGATCCTGCATCAGAAATGTATTTACTCCTAAAATACGCGCCAGACATTTCTCAAGAGTTGCTGTTGAAGCTTACGGCAGCATTCAGCGATTTAAGACGACTGGTCGACGAAGGACTGATTTCGTATCCTTATTCGACTCGTGAGCTCGTCAATATCGTGAAACATATGCAGGTATTTTCAAGTCGAATAATCTTAATTTTGATTAAAATGGATTTGATTTCATTTTGGATTTTTTAGCAATACCCCAAAGAAGGTGTCTCTCAAATTCTTCAAAACGTATTTGACTTCGATCAATACGATAAAGACTCGAAAGTGCTTTTGATTGAAACTTTTCAGAAACATGGAATCCCGATTGGATTAAACTCCGAACTTTCCGTGCAACTTGGTAAATTTGTATCGTTGAGTGAACCAGTTGTTACTGAAATTTGGACTAAAGCTACTGCTTCTCGACAGAGAACTCTTCAAGTTAGCGGCAATAAGATCGAGCTTCGGGTTTGTGATCTTTTTTCGGCTGTTTTTTTTTAACGGTTAACACATTTTGAGTGAATTATTTTTGGGTTTAGGGCGGCTGGGAATTTCATGTGAATAAAACTAAAGAACTTGAGCGGACTGAGGGTTTATTATTTACTGTATAAATTTTTCGGAAATTCTTATATCGATATAATTTCTCATTTGATTTTATTTTAGGTCGCACAACTACATTCACCGAACAAATATACAGTTTTAAGATTCCTACGCGTGGCGAAGCATTAGATATTGTTGGGTTAGAAGATGGATCTCTTTTTGCTGTCACTACTAATCCCATAACATTGCATCACATCGATAAAGAACATCATCTAAGCAAAAGTGTTGAATTATATGAGTATTTCCCGCTTAAAGACGGTAATTTTTGTATTTTCACTATGAAATGCTCGATTGATTTTTAATTTGATTTCTGTGTATGTCAAAAATGATAATTTATTTAATTCGATAGTCCCTCCACGAATAAAACTTGCAATTGTTCAAGCTCATGGGTCCGCGTGGTTCTTGACTCTACATGATCCCGAGAACAATTCTGTGGTCGTAATGGATTATATTGGAAGGACTGTTAATTCAATTAAAGTATGAATATGTTTTGTGTATTTTGCTTTTTATTAGAGCATTTTTTAAAAATGGTTTGTTTTGGTTGACAGTTGACTGGACTTGCTAAACAGACACGAAAAATTATGGTGAAAGATTTTGCATCACTTGGAATTTTAGGTGAATCCCTTTTTCTCACTAATATTTCTATTGAATTAAATTGACTGAATACAGTAATTTCTATTTTTATATAAAAAACAGTATTCTATCAATTCTTTAAATCCTCGATTGTTGTCCTGGATTTCAATTCCAATACAGAGTACATGATTACATTGCCTATAAACGGTATTTGCTAATACCTTTATATATCCATGCTTTTTCAATAATAATTTATTGAATACTAAAGAAATATCCATGTATTTGTAAATACAGTTGCTCAGCTTTATTTATTAAAACCAGATATATGGTTAGTTCGCGATTGCGCAAATGGCTCTTACCACATTATTTATCCTACAGCTAGGAATACTGAATGGCAAGCAAAATTACTGTGTTTTGTTTTTCTTTGTGCTGCTGGATGATAATAATATATCGCTATGAATTTTTTAGGCTTCCGAATGTAATCGAGCAAATCGAGATTAAAAATTTGTCCGCTGATTTACCGCACCAACCGATTACTTTTATGTCTCAAGATGGAGTTCCTAGAGCAAACGTGTAACCTTTTTATTATTTAATACTAATATAATGCTAATGAACTTGGATTTTCTAACAATATTTAAACATTAGTTCATCAGCTCGATTCCTACACACAAAAAACGACACCTTTGCATTATCAATTGCTTCTAATCTCCCGGAATCATTAATTTCAAATAAAAATGATATAAAGCCGATTGAGATAGTTTCATATACACGTGAACCTGAAGATAATGCTCGTAATCTTTTTGAAAATATAGGCAATTCTTCACTGTTTTTGACTCGAACTGGTCAATTGGCGACTGTGATTCCAGTGAAGGTAAGAGTTATCAATGTTAAAAGTTCTCTATTATAAAATTAAAAAAAAACTTGGTTTTTTTATGTCGATAGAACGGGCGGAATTGTGGATATTTGGAATTATTTAACCCAGTACAACAGACTCTATGGCGAATTGTAATTCCATTAGCAATTCCTGTTTCTATTGCAGAAAAAAGGTAAATGTTCAGTTAAATCTAAAGTCTTATTTTTGATTTCGTTAATATTTTTTTTTATTATATATAAAGTAAATTCAGTCAAGCAGATTTAGAATTGCAACAGATAGCTGCGTTATTACTGGAGTTACCAAATGGGGATTTACTAACAATGGATAATAGCGGTTTGTAATATTTTTAGTGTAAGAATAATAGGCAAGCAACTATAATTTAGATGTACATGTATTTAATTTTCAGGTGTTGTGCGTGTATGGCAAGTTAACGCGGGAGAATTAATTCGTGCTGCAGATACTTGGAAGAAATTTGTTGGCGTGCTGGATCAGCATGTGTTATCTATAATATACGAAACAGACGAGGTAGATATGTTTGCTTTCGTATATTGAGTAGACTGACGTATTAATATATTTGTTAATTTAGATACAAGAGGAAAATTTAGCAAATGGAAATAAATCTGGTGTTGGAACTGGTGGATCCGAAGGTAGTGGCGAAGGCACTGGAGAAGGGGAGGGTGAAGGAGGAGGAGATGGAGGAGGAAGAGGTGGTGGTGGTAGTGGTCAAAATATTGAAGAATTTAAAGGCAGAGAGCCGACTTTTATTGATGTAGACAACTTAATCCTGGTAAATTTTTAATTCGATAAAATTGCGTGTTTTTTTTTTAATTTGCTTTTTATATTTTTTTAAAGAGGGATGAAGCCAAAACACCTTTAGAGCTGACAGAAGCACAAAAGTAAGTCGGTTAATTCTTATATAATTAAATTGTTTCAAAAGTTTTTGTGAACTCAATTTTAAGTTTTTCCCGATAAAACAGAGAAATGCACACACTAGTAATGCGCCAACGCCTCGAACAAATAACAATGACGCAGTCCGATTCTGATATATACCGTGGTTACTTAGCAAACGTACAACGCGAAATACGCGAACTTCGCGTGATACTCGAAGGCATCGAAGCGAAAAAGAAAGAACGGGTTTGGTTGAAAAGTCAAAGTTCTGGTGATATTGATGATACTAAATTGTATTGGTTTTTTAAGTTTATTTCGTTATAGCAAATGTTTTAGGGTTGACTTGAGAATTATTAACTTTTTTATTTGAATAAGGATTGAAGGACTAACAGGCGACCATAATATTTATAAGCGTCGCGGAGAAAACGATCCAGAGATTGGATTCTTTCAGGAGAAACCGAAGAAAATGTATTTTGTGTTTGATTTAAGTGCCAGGTAATTAAATTAAAATTCTCTTCGTTCGGTACAAAAAATGAACTCCAAATTTAATGTTTAATAATAACAGCATGCATCGATTCAACACACACGACCGTCGTTTGGACCGGTCAATCGAAGTAGCATTAAGTAAGTCTCTTCATAATTTTATATCTGATTTTGATAAACTAAATCGAAAACTGTTGAAAAATAAAATAGTGATAATGGAATCATTTAAATCTTTCGAAAACAAATTCGAGTACCGTATTGTCGGACACAGTGGCGATTCGCCAAACGTCGAGTTTGTCACGCATGGAAAGTACCCTAAGACTGAAAAAGACATTTTCAAAGTTTTGAAAGAGATGTTTACGCATTCGCAGTTTTGTCTTTCTGGAGGTTTTATTCTTTTCAACCTATTGCTGGTTTTTCGATTATCGTTTTATGTTTTAATTGGTAAAAATGAAAATTCTATAGATAATACATTGAACGCCGCTTCACACGCCATAAAAGATATTGTTAAAGAACAAGCCGATGATTACTTTGTCGTCGTGTTATCAGATGCGAATATTTCACAGTATAATATTAAACCGGATGATATTGCTAAAGGTTGGTTGACTATTATTAAAATTTACAAAATATCACAGTAAATAATGCGTGTTTTTAAATATCCATTTTTCGAAAAATAGTGCTGAAATCAGATGAACGAGTATCAGCGTTCATGATATTCATTGGCTCATTACAGGATCAAGCCGAAAAGTAAGTATTATGTCTGAGTTCGAAGTCAAAATAAAATTAATTGATCGGAAATTATTCATTTATTTATTAGGCTCCGAAAGAACCTTGCGGGACATGCACATATTTGTATGGAGAACTCGGAACTGCCGCGTATTATGAAATCGATCTTTTTGTCGTCAATGTTAAAGTGAAAGAGTGAAAGACCCATCATTTTTTAGAGGATTAAGATTAGAATAAATACTAATCCATGCACTGTTATAGATTTGGAAAGTTTGCGAATTCGGGCAATACCAATACAATATATATATCAAGTCTGTTTATTTATTCCACAATCAATATCGATATAGAATTTTGCACTCACTCGAAAATTATTTACTTTGACGAAAAGTTTTTCTCGTTTTTGCCAATTGAATTTACTTAATATTTGCGCGCTACTTTTCAAGGCAAAAAAAAAGATTTATGCCGCAAACCGTTCCCCTCATTGAAGCAATACACCTGTGTTCAATATTTTATTGGCGGTGGAAATATTCGTTTTATGATTTACGTATAAGGTCTATTTTTTCTGAGTTTGAGATTCCAATGATAATTTCTTTGTGAAATAGTTCTTTTTGATAACAAGTATATATATATACTATACTATACTATACTATACTATACTATACTTAGCTCTTATTCAACCGGACATTCGTTAACGTTAACGTTAATCTTGAAATAGCCAAAATCGGATAAATAATCCGGAAAATATTTGATTAACCGTTAACAGGAAAAAATTCAGCCAGAAAAACGAAACAACAAAATGATCTTTGGACAACCAAGAAAATGAAGATGGCTGACGAAAATGAATTGTTCTTTAGCGAACGAGCATTTTAGATTATTTTTTAATGGATAGTAAGTAATAGCATTAAAGCACTAACGTTAAATTATATGATTCTAGTTTGGTTTTCTAAGCAATTGATAACTCGTTTATGAATTACAGCGGAAGTAATCACAAAACTATACATCAATTAATGCGAATTCAGCTTACGAAGACCTGATAAATTTTCTAGGTCTTCCTTTTACTTGGTTCAACTTATCGAAGTAAAAGATTGTTGACAATTCCTCCTTATTTAGCTTCTTTTACTTTTTGTAATAGTCAGATACCATCTAACATTATACCATCCTTCGAGTCAAGGCAATATGCTCGCGTAATACGTATAATAGTTCAAATCGTTTGATCTGTGATTTTTTTACGTGTTATTCGAGTTTTTAGATTGGATTACTAAGTCAATAAAACAACGCGACTTAAATATCTACCGAAAGCTGATAAATCTTTTTTGTAGTTGGTTGTGATTATTAATCATGAATGATGATGCTTAACTAATATGTACATACTAACGCTAATACTAATAATCACGGATTAAATTTTGTATTTACTGCTTAGTAAGAAGTTATAAAATACAATCTACGTATATGTATAACAATATTGACATATTTTCCATATTCGCTTTATACTTGCGGAGCTGATTGAATATTTGGCTAGTACCAGAATCACAAAGATAGTCGTGGGTGGAAAAGGAACAACCATTTATCAGTGTAATTGATTAATCATCTCAATTCTATAGTGATAGAGTTCGACGATTTTGTTTTCGATTGCCAACTATAATTTTTCACTCGATGATGTTTGTAGGCTCATTTTCCTATGCAAAAAATACAACCCTCAGAGCTTTGCCGCACGTTTTCGCGGCATCCAAGAAACGATACGTTCCACCCAAAAATAATGGAAGATTGCAGATAGCGGCTAATTCATATGAGGTCATATTTGATGGGGAAAGAAACAATGGCGCGGTATTGCAAACTCAAGAACAACAACAAAGTCAGGAACAACGAGAAAAGGAGCAAGAAACGAAACAAATCACAATATTATTTGCTCACGCAAATGGCTTTCATAAAGAAGTTTGGGAACCGGTGATTAATAAGTTGGCGCAAGAAAATCTTTTTGATTCTTGGAACTTAAAGATGTGGGCAATGGATTGTTATAATTCTGGTGATAGTGCTGTTTTAAATGGAAGATTTTTACCGGATTCGTGTCTGTATTTAATTTTATTAAAACTTTGATTTCGAAACTATAATGAAATATTTTTAAAACTTTTATGTAATAATTACTCAGTCAATTGGAAAGATTACGCGCTAGATCTGTTAAGTGTGATTGACGAAGCGAAGTTACAAAAACCTCTAATTGGTGTTGGACATTCGCTGGGAGGGTGTTGCATGTAAATATGACAATTTTTATTAATATTTATTTTTTCATTAATTATTGATTCATTATTAAATCTCGTATTCAAGGATACTAGCGGAAACATTACGTCCCGGAACATTTTCGTCAATTGTAACCGTTGAACCGGTGATTTATCCGGCTTCTGCGAATAAAGACCCTGGATATGGTTGGGCAAGTAAAAGAAAAGATATTTGGGAAAACAAGTACGCAATTATTATTGTACCTATATCTATTTTTTGAAACTGCAAAGTAATTAATTCTTTAATTTAATAATTTATTAGGGAAGAGGCAAGCAAATTTTTTCATTCAAAACCATTTTATAAAGAATGGAATCCACATGCACTTGAACTTCATATTGTGAGTAAGAAAATTTGTTTTTGGAATTTGTACTTCATTTTGTTGTGAAATTTAATGAGAGATCAAATTATAGAAATATGGATTACGTGAACTGCCGAACGGACAAGTAACCTTGAAATGTCCAAAACTTCAAGAACATGCAAGTATTAGAAGTTTACCAAGACAAATAGAACAAAATTGACATAAATCATATCATTCACAATTGCAGTATGGATTCAAAGCTGACTTAGTCTCGTTCAGTGAATGTTTCGAGGCACTATCGATTATCAAGATTCCTTTGTTGTATATTGCAGGGGAAAAGTCTGACTTAAAGTAATTAATTGTCAGTCCTAATTTTTTTTATCTGTTATTATGTTATTTGATCTTGAGATTTTTTTGAATATATGTTCTTGTAGTGATCAGAAAACTCGCGAATTGAATACATCAAAACTGCTTTTTGGTGAATTAGCTGTTGTATCGGATGCTAGGCATTTAGTAAGTACTTGTTTACTTACGTAGTTATTACGTAAATAATGTAGATTTTTGATTTTCTGTCCATTTAATTCAATCTATTCTTTTTGGTGCAGGTTGTCATGGAGAAGCCAGATCAAATCGGCATGTATTATTATTTTTTTTTGTTAAGAATATTGATTAATTTCAAATTTATTTTTAATATTTTGAAACTTATATAATAGCATTAGAGATCAGGAAATTCATCAACAAGATGCGACAATTTATGACGGATAACGATAATTTTGATATAGCTCAGTCGGCAGAAGAGATCAAAAATTTATCTAAATTATAGGTTTTGCTATTTAATTCCATGCATATATTATAAGAAATACATTACTCTTGAAATAAACCATTTCAATTTTGCAAAAAAATTAATGTATTGTCCTTGATCATTCTAACCTAACCACATACATGTAATAAATTATGACATGCCGATTATCGTTAATCACAGATTATCGTTATATATAACGATCACGACAAATTATATTTACGCCAACTCTAGCTTGGAGAACGAATAAGATATCAATCAAATCGAATCGATCATGCTGATTAAAGAATATGATATCATTATCGTTATTGTCAGTCAGTTTATTATATTAATCAGATTTTTAACATATAAACTCTGAACACCTGTCTATTTGCATTAGGGATTCCCTCCAATGATTACTATTAATGAAAATTTAAAAAAAATTTTAACACGAAAATAAAGCTTGTACATAAGTTCTTTTACGAGTGTAACATCGTGCCAAATGGTTTGTTGACCGAATATTTTCTATGCTGCCGAAATTTAAATATGTGCATTGATTTTATCTAAATTACATTAATCAATGAAAGGTTCAAAATACTTCCACGCAACATCATTCATTGCTCCGTGAAAACGAAACGACACCATATCCTAATAATCACCGTTACGCACGTTCGTCATTGACCCCATTACAAGAACGTTTGCCACGATATACCCCATCTTTTTCTTTGCCTCCAAGGTATTCTCGGCTTGACCCAATGTCCGAAATGGTAAATAATATTCGATTTTCTTATCAGTTTCAAATAAAAATACCGATACTATATATAGGGTACATAAATAGATGGCAATCAGGAAACAATCCCACTACAAAATCCTTCAAAATGAAATAATCCGTGACGATGGTCGAATATTTCACTTTTACCTCGCAAATCCTGGCGACGAATACGACGATTCTCAGATCTGGAGTGAGCGTCTAATAATCGAAACAATTGAGGAGAAATTCATAAAGATTAATAATGACCATGTGAGTTTAGAGAGGAGTAAAAGTAAATTGTGCGGGAGGCGAAAGATGAAGTTCTTATTTGGAGGTAGTGAATGGAGGTAATTTTCTATTCGTTATATATAAATGATTTACGCGCATATATTTAATGATATATCACTGATTAAATAATTTTTAGGTGGATCAGTGAAGGTAATCGCTTCATATTCCAGGCAGTGTTTCGCAATCCATGTAACGAAAAAGAAATTTGGCCACTCGGTCATCTGGAAAAATGCAGCAGATCACTAGTGTTTTGCCAGGGACGGTTGTGTACAATGTACATGATAGACGAACTTGAAATAATTGTGTTAATGACAGCGCTTTTGTTGACTGTCGATAAAGAGAAAATAATCAAAGGAAAATTGTCGAAATGGTATTTATTGATTATTTTCAATTTTAATAGATTTTTTATTAAACCGATTAATTAATTTGATATGTTTATTAGGTCAAGACGATTAATCAATTCACGAAATGATATCAATCAACACAATGAGGACGTAAATGCAAAACTTGCTTGATTCTTTTTTCTCTATTTTTTCGAATTTGATTGATACATATACAAATATATGTTTTTTTTGAAAATTTAGCGTGTTTATCGTTTTCGCTTTGGCTCTGAGCTTATGCAAATATTTTGAAAACTTATTTAAAATGCCGTTATGCTAAAATAAAAACTTTATAGCTCTATCTAGTTTATTTGAGGTGATCCGTTTATATTTAAGTTTCCCTACGATTTTGCAGCACCGTTAAAACTTTTATAGTACCTACAATAAAAGAATGGCTGGAGGTTTTCGAAGATACCAGTCAAAAAATGATTTAGAACTCGTTGAATCTATGCTATGCTATCATATGGGTCGATCACATGGATCGAGCACTATTTATTGTGATGAGCCCGTAACCAATAAAAAATTCAAACAAATGACTTGGTAATTCTGTTTAAAAGATATAACGATAAATACATATCTATGTCGATATTATTATACTTGTAGTATATATAATAGTGAGGTAACTCATGAAATTCAAACATAAAACACGGAAAGCGCAAGTATACGCATTTAAATGAAAGATATTGAACTAATTTTTTTCTGATGCAATATTAAAGACTTTTTAGATGTGGTCGTCTACGTAGGGTTGTTAAATGGAGCAATATACTCCGGGTTACTATGTACACTATAGTGGATAATATCCAAAACTGCCTCTAATAAAATCAACTCGATATAACGTAGATTTACTAATAAATGTTCAAAAACTCTCGATTTTGTACTAATAGATTTTTTTTGATACACTAAGAGTTACGTACTATGCAATTTCTAAATTTCACTCCGCTCCGGAGCTAGAATGATTATCTAATTTAAAAATAGCCAATGAAATAGTTTCGTGATCAAAAAAATGAATTCGTTTGTGAAGTGAAAAGAATTAATGATTCTGGTGATTAGAATATTCCTGACGTGAAATCACTGATTCTCCAAGGTAGTGAAAACAGATTCGAAAATATAGTATTTGGATATTGCTAGTGTTAGTTTTTCATGTTTCCTCAGTCTGAAATAAAGCAGATAATTCGTTAGCGAGTATTATGCAATGAATTTATTTTATATCAAATAATTAATTTTGATCTACAGTGAGATTGTTATATAAGTTTTATTATAATACAGGGGGTCATTAAAGGTCCGGCCAGAACTATTTGTGGTAACTATTTTTTAGTTTTAGATACTCAACATAGAAAAGGATCCTACCCTATACAAGTTTTTCTATGTGGTGATGGTATTTTTCAGGATGACAATATAGACCAAAGGTTGCAACCGTTATTTTAGTCTTCACAAAGTCCCGATTTGAACCCCATAGAAAATTTATAGCATGAAGTGAAAGACGCTGTTCCCTGATGATCACCTGCATCACTTATTCTCACAATACGTATGTGAAAGTGACATGGAAGTATCGATTCTCTAGAATCGATTGATTTTGTAGAATTTGTAGAATCGAGAAAAATCGATTCTTTATAATTGATTAATATTTGAGAATCAATTAATATTTTGAGAATCAATTAAAATTTAAAATTTGAGAATCGATACAAAGACAAAACAATAACGATAACGATAATGCATAAATCGTGTAAATAATTGGAAAATCATAATTTTCACTTGTAAAAAGCATGGTAAATGTTACAACGCACGACAAACTGCTGTCATTCAACAAAAATATTGAAATTGATAATAACCAAGGAACTATTGCTAATATAGAGTTCAATAACTCTGATAGATACTAATGCCAAAGTAATTGATATTGATCCAAACTCAAATGATATTTATAAAACAACAAAAAATACTGTAATAAAACGGATACAGAATCTCAATCTAATGACAATACATCAATTGCCTCTATACTGTTAGTATCTCTATGAATTCAACTAACCAAAGTATAGCTTCAACTATTCCAACGAAAAGGGAAAAATCAACATGCAATAAGAAAAAAATCCAAAGATCAGTTATGTCGTCGTTATTGCTGTCGTCGTCGTAATTTGTGCTCGAGAGTCGATTTTGGGTTGAGAATCGATTCCTATCCTTACTTGAAAGGAAAGCTTACAATCCTGTTTTTGAGTTGTCAAATTCAATGATTGTAAGTGGCCGGATCTTTATGATGACCCTTGTACTTATATATTTATTGTTCATAAAAGCAAAATATATGTGTTCGAACAAAAAATGTTCCTTGTGAAAATTCACTATAAGTGCATTTGTTTTGTCGATGTTATCAACAAATTATCACATGACACTAATATCATTTTTCCAATTTTTATCAATCAAACCACGATTTAAGTTCCGTGACCAATCCTAGATTGTTTTTATATTTTTGGATCAAATGGAAAATTCTGGGTATTATTTGTATTATAGGTAATTGAACCAAATATTATAAGTAATTGAACTAGATATTATAGGTAATTGAAGCAGACGGGTATTGAAACGGAACCTAGAAGACACATAGTAAAACAAATTTGCGCGAAAATTTATGCTTGTAAAAATTTACAGATGTTACAATAAGTTTGCTATGCAAAAATGCATAAAATAACCAGTTTTTGACACAACTACCGGTTCAGTGAAGGTTTGTTTTACAGTAAATGAGGTTTACAGTAATGAAAATATAGTTAACTTGTGCTCACTTCGGACGGACATTAAAAATGTAATCTAAACCAGATTCGTATCGATATGAACTGCTTGACATCCCAATTTATGTTGGGATCAATACCATTGGTTGATTTTCACCTAATTTAGGATATGTAGCTTATAATCATTTATTATTGATTATGATGACTAGTTCCAATTTGTTAAATTCGACATATGACTTTAGATGATCACCATTGTAAGGGTTCATACGTATTTTTAGTTGTGGACCACAAATATAGTAACTAAAAAATCCTTATCGTTATAATCACACATCACTGTAAATCAAGTGCTATCGCTATGGCCCATTAGCTTGTTAAGTTTGATATGATCAGTTACTATTTCGAAAGGTTTTTGAAAAATATTTACGACATTATACACATATCAAATGAGACCTAGGCTATTTTATATAACTTAAATAAAAATTGAAATCCTTGTGGCTATAATATTTCTGTTATAATAAAATAACAAAAGTTTGCTTAAAACCAGTATCTGCATTTATCCCATGTCTTCTAATGGTCGTCCGTGATACTACATACTGATATTTTCACAGAAATGATCGCCCGTAAAAATACATGTATCAATGTTATACGTAATGATTCCATGGTCCCGCATCATATCTTTTAGTACCCATGAATTTATAATTAGACTTCCGATTTAAAATTCTCTTGGACGGGGGTCAGTAACGTAATTAGGTCTTCGATTCTAAAATTCTCTTGAACGGGATCAATATATTATCTATTATTTATAATAAGCATTACTTTTATAATACAAATACAACATAATTCTATCCTATAAGTAAAAAAAAACCTATAAGTTATCATTATTAAAATATTAGCGAGGAAAATCACAGAGCGTTAGGATTCAGGGAATAAATCAGATATTTAATGTCAGCCTTCGATATCATGCATGATATCTATTACATATGTGGTAAGTGTAATAGAAACGGTGTAGAATTTATAATAATACACTCAACCCATATGTTTAAGTATATAAAATTACAAGTTTTCTGCAGGATCAACTTATTTTTTTATTATCAATTTACAATTAAAATAATTAACGTTAATATTGTTTTTAGATATCATTACAGAATGACCTGCACTTTGAAAAACATATATCGATATGGGGTCCAATTTCACTCTATCTACTTGTTATTGATAGTTATTAATTGAAATTTTTTCATCCAAGTTCAACATTAATCGCTGAAGTTATGTCTTCTCGAAATTTTGTTTAACTAGTGAAAAGATGATAACACACTAGTTGTGAGCCAGACTGGATAATTTACTTAAAAGAGGGTTCTCTAAAGATTCTAAGGGTCTCCTGTGATGATTTTTATGAAAATCAACATTGATAAAAGGTGGAGGTCTTTAAGCAAAGGTGTTTTCAGATAAAAACTAACTAAATTTTAAAAAAGTAGGATTTATTTATACAACCTACAAAACTTAAATCAAATCTTCACAAATATCAACAGTGCTTAAAACAAAAGGATTGGGCTTATTGATGCAACCAACAAAATAATAAAATTACAAAATCAAGGTATGGTTTATTTATAGTAGAGGTCTTCTACTACTTTGATGTTGATCAAGTGAAAAGATTTGCTAACAAGTAAGTGTATTTTACAAGTTGGCACTTTTATTGAATCAGAACATGAGCTTTTTCTACTTGAGAGAAACTCTTCTTTTATTACAATTCTTTGGTTACACTAATTACATATTTCGTGTTATAGACTTATAAAAATAGAAACAAAAATATCAACTAGAAACTATGCACAAGAAAATATTCACTGATAATTATTAACTCAAAATTATCAGCTGAAATTATCAGCTCGACAACACAAACAATTATCTAAATACATAAATGAGAAAGAGTCTAACGAAGAATTTTCTAAAAAGGAACACAATATATTAAGTATTAAATAACTACTGAAAATTATCAGCTAGATAACATGAAGATAATTATAAAAATAAATGATAATATCAATTCAGTAATTATATTATACGTCATTTCGGAATTCACGTCAATTCCAAATTGACGTACGTGATTTCAGAATTCCAAAATGACGTACATCGTTTCAGAATTCCAAAATGATGTACGTCAATTCGGAATTCCAAAATGACGTGACTGCTATACGTCGTTTCGGAATTCACGTCAATTCCGAATTAACGTACGTCGTTTTGGAATTCTGAAATGACATAAGTCATTTTGGAATTCTGAAACGACGTACGTTAATTCAGAATTGATGTGAATTCCAAAATGATATATAATACTGACACATGGCATAGAAAATTGATCGTCTAATATTTTACATAAATTAATAAATGTTGGAGTATTGATGACATAATGATAAGATTCACCGTTGTTGATCTTGT